GGTTTCCTTAATTGGTTTTCAGAAGGTGCCCTGCTAACTTCTACGGATTACAGCATAGGGGTGATAATGAGACCTTGATTCAAAACGTGTTAGTACTAAATGTAGCTTATGCAATATAAAATCTACCATTTTGCGGGTGTGGCATACATTTAAATCTTTAACATGATAAATGATGATCACTTTTTCCATTCATGTAATATGTACAATGTACAGAAAAGGTTACAACGCTACGTAATATGTATACATTTTGTACATACCTGATATTGAGCCAATTGCCCAGCAAAGCGTATTAAGATTTTTCCATGAGAACTCAGTACCATTGACTTGGTTCATTAGCTTAAGTGTCATTATACGTTCTGTATCCGCATAATCCAAATGGGTTAGAAAAACCAGAGTTTCACGCATGTTTTTATACAAATTTATGGCATTAGTATCTTTCATAAATTCGCGTACAACTTCTCCGTTTTCATTCTCGACCACGAGCACTTCTTCCGGTTTGGCCATTCTTGAAATCATAATGTAACGAACCTTCGATAAAATGTTGGCGTAAAAACGGCGACGAGGAAAAGCATTACGCTTAGCCAATGATACTGCGTCCGTTTGAGTGAGATGCGCTGTGTTGCCAACAAATGTTTCGCTATTGTAGAGATCTTCAACTAAATTATTCCAATACTCCAAACATATTTTGAAAACTTCAACATCCTCAACTTCTGATATCATTACCAAATAGAGCAGTGCCTGATTCAAATAATCGATATATTTGACATCTTCCACAAGTTTGCCATGCTCCTTGAGGAATGTGCACAAGAACATTGCTAGATTCTGAACAAATACTTGCTCGGTGCTGCTCCCGTTTGCATAAATATTACTCATATTGGGATTCTGGCCAATCATTTGATCCAGCTGCACCATTGTATCCTTAAACATTCTGGCAAAATTTTCATTGTAATCGGGAACGGTAAGACCAGCAATCTCAGACAGGCACTGTAGCGTAACATTTCGAAACATAGGGACACTCAAGAACTTAAAAATAAGTGTCTCTATCAACGCTGTCTCAAATATATATCCCAATGGGATCCAGCTCAAGAATCGTAATAACGTTTCTAAAGTAACTTGGATTAGGGGTGCATTCATAGAGCTTTCCAAAACAAAAGAACAAAGCTGGAAAATTTGAGAAAATTCGGAGCACATTGTATCCTTCAAATGTTTCGCCTTGGTTTGAGTTATTTGTCCGGCAGAAAAATCAAAAACCTCTTCGCTAAGGTTTTTCAAAATTACCATATTATTCTTGCATAGACTTTCATTAGTCTTCGATGCCCCTACGATGTCACTAATAAACGTTTCCCAATTGCGTGGCCACTCCCGTTTCAATATTTGGACTAATATTAAATTCAACTTGTTCAAGTAAACCTTATTGGCCTCCATTGTTTCGGGGTCCGAGGACGTTTTGATAATAAGTCCCACAACATATTTCTTGATTCCTTCGCATTGATTGCGAGGCAAAATTTTCCAGCGGGTTTTAATTACTTCTTCCAGAATTTGCAATGCATAGAACTTAGTTCGCTGATTTTGAGAAAATTCTAAAATGCTGTCAACACGGGTCCAGGCATCTGGATGCTCACGCAATGTTGTAAGAATATCTTGCGCTAGGCGCAACTGCTCTCCCTGCGACGTATACAAGCACTCTACGATCTTGTCCAGTAAACTAATGTCTAGTTTCTGAGAGAAGTCCAACAACTTGCTGGCTTCCTCAGTCGACAGCATCGCCATTGCCTTGTAATAAAAGCAGCGCTCTCGTCTGCGTCTATCGATGATGTTGGGATTAATTTTGTTGAAGAGGACAAGTCAAAAATAATTTGGTAGATTTAGCTAATTGCTTTATCACTGATGCACCGGCCTGGAAACAAAACAAAATACTACTCAAATTAAATATTACAAAGTCACTCATTATAATTTTAATAGCGCTTTCGCACGCATATACATATTTTTGATTTTCATTTCTAATAGAGCTCATAATTCTTTGCAACTCCACATTTAGGCAATTGCGTCGCATGCGACATTTTCACCAACTTTGGGGTCCCTCTAATTTGCTTTGCTTGGACAATGATGTTATAATAAGTATTTTTTTAAAACAATGTATAGTTTTTCATAAATATTTTAATTTATCCAATGTAATATAACACTTTTTCGCAAAGAATGTTATTTTCAAGAAAATGTGCGTGGCCCGCAAAATACATCCATCACATCGCTTCTTCTTCTTTGCTTTATGTATCGCACTTACCTACTAAGTAGCAGCGGCCGTCGTTATAGCGCTCCCCTCGAATTTAATTAAAATGCGAAAGTGTAAACGAAACTAATGGACGATATTTTTATCTAACAGACGGCGATAATCCTGTTGTAAAACTTTCATTCAAATTCTTAAGTGAACTCACAACGCTCTTTCACACTCACAACTTATAAAATTTCAAAAAATATTACGATTAAAATCGTTGATGACCGCAAAACCAAACTCACACAAATCTTCAGACTCAGAAAATCTTCACTTTCGTCGTCTCACTTTGATGTTAAATTCGTTGTTAACCGATTCGCGCTGGTACAATGTCCCAAACCGATTCGAGCTATGCTGGACAGTGTTGCCAGAAAGCTCCCATTTAGAGCTAGAATCTCCTCACAATGCAGCGAAAATTCGCGAAAGCCAGTTCGTTAGCTGAGTATTTGTTTACTTCAGAAGCACCACTATTTGACACTTTTCTTTAACTAAAGAATAGTTAATTCAACATGGCAATAGGTTTCAAAGAATTTTAACGCATAATTTTACCTAAATTGTGCATTTGAACTAGCTGACAATAATTTTAGTTACATTTGGTTTTCGCTGTTTTCTTTGCTTTGTTTACTTTTCTTTCGTTTTCCAGCGAAACAAGATAGCGTAGAACCCTCTTAAAAAATCTACTTTCACTCGCTCTTTTGTTCTTACATAATCTGGCGTCATTCGTTCATGGCGCCGTCCGACATACCGCTACCAAAGAACGTATATATTTATTTGTATTCATTACCGCTACTTTGGCTTTGCCAATTTTTATAATTCTGGTTTACAAGAATCCGAATCATCAGAAACTTAAAATGCAAATTTTTTAATTTTTTCCTTATTATTTCTTATTGTAAATTATAGGTTTGTATAGTAACCAATAGTCAGTACTAATTTGTACTGGAACCTGCAAACTTTTACTGGAAAAGTGTATGATGAGTGAGAGCACTGAATCGAGAGCGCAACAACACGGGAGAGCTGCAAATTCTTGCTAGTGAAATTTTTACTAGCAGAAATTAGCTAGCAGAAGAAGAAGAAGAATAAATGTCAAAAGCCGCCATTTGTTGAATTGGTTTAGCACAAACAAAAGTAAAAGGAATTTAAATCAAAATATTGTGACTGTGTAAGTGCTTCTGTGTAAAGCAAAGAGTCTAAGACTGATTTATAAATAGTAAAATGTTTGCAGCAGAATGTCAAAACAGTGCAATGACTGTTCACTTGCAAGTTTTTGCTAGTTTTGTGTTCATTAACTTTTTCTGCTAGTTTTCTCTTCTTCTCAATTTTACGCTCTATTTTGCTTTTACGCTCTCGCTGCATTGTTTTACTGGAGAAGTTACTATACAAACCAAGGCGAATTTATACAAGGTGGTGTTGATGGCGAATTAAATTATCGCCGCGGTACTACTGAATGTCAAAATGATGTGTTTGTTGTAAACAAGGCGAATTCATTTTACAACAAACACATCATTCTGACATTAAGACGTATCTCGGCGAAAATCTAAATTCGCCATTAACACCACCTTGTATAAATTCGCCTTGATACAAGCCTTATATCTTTTTACAATTAAGCCCAATTAAAACACGTTTACTGTCGAAAAATTCAATACTAAAAAATTTGCTCTTCTGACATTTTCTTTTAACATCCAATTCGGTGGTACACAAATGTCATCGCCGAAAGGACGGCTCAATCTTTTATTTTATCATTTTTGGAATCTCCAGAAAAAAAGGCTAGATAAAAAAATTTTAGGGCTAAGGGCTACTTTGACTAATCATCGATTGAACATTTTTTTTAACTTTTTTTAGAAAGAATTCTATTTGTTTAGGTACATCAATGATAAAAGCATAACAAGCTAAAACCATTAAGAGGCAGTCTGATGTTTGCCAGTGTAAAGAATCTTGTTTGTAACCGCAGAACTCAACAGGCAAACACTGATGGCCTACCATCTCTCATTTTGACAAGCAATATGGTTGCAAGTTTTTGTGCGTGGGCACTTTGATGTCTTGAAATAAGCATTCGCCGCATTAAGCCACGAGACAACATTCTCCCAATTTCCGTGTTTAAAAGCATTTAAATCTTAAAAAAAACTTGCTGAATAATTTCCTAAAATGTAACCATAAATAATTCAATAGTGAATAGATTCTTAGTTTGTTTTAATTTCAAAATTTCATCGATGTTACCAAGAGCACGCTTTCTTTCAAATGAAAATATGGCTGTCAAACTATCAAACTGCCTGCAATAGATATCAAGCAATAAAGCTGACGCCAGATTAAACTTTGTAGCTTTGCGTGACATTTATAACTTTGCCAACAAAGCGCTATACACAAAAGGTATGCCACAATGAACCCAAGAAAACAATTTTGTACTGCTTTTTTACTCGTCAAAATTGCTGTGGATTTTATATATTTTACTTTAAAAATATCAGCAATGTCATAAAGTTTTACGTTTCTACATGAAAACTTGAATTTGAACGAAACAAAATAAATATTAAACCGGCTGATTGTCAAAGCACGCAAAACGATGGGAGTTGGCCATCTTTTCGCTTCACGCTGCAGCTTCAACGATATATGGTATGCTTTGCGCATTTTCATACAATTTATCTTATCGGTCAAAGCGAATCTGTCACGTAAAGCGAAGCAAAAGTTTAAATGTGGCATCAGCTTAAGCGCTGACATATATTGCAACCCATGATAAATAGGCGGTCTCCACTGGAAATGTATTTTGTGAAATGCTTATCACGACATCAGTGTTTCCCTGTTGAGACAGGGCCTTACGTAATTCCTATATCTAGCACCTCCAACAGATTATTTTGGGTTAATTATTATTGCAATCGATAGTTTGTCCATTGGTCTTCATTTTTCGTCCATTTCTAACGTTTGTTTCTCAGCCAAGTATTTCTAATAAATTTTTTACATTTCACAATTCCTGCATTTGCAAGAATTTCATTATTTTAATTTGTTAACTGTGATAAATCGTTTGTTCGTCGTTAGTTTGCCGCTTGTTCATCCCTAAAATCGATCGAAAACAATTAAAAAAAAATTGACTATAAGTGGTCAATACGTTCATCATTAAAAGATTTTTCATTAACGTTATGGGTTATGAACCCAACCCACGATAGCCCCTCATTAGTCTGCGTTCAGACACGGTAACTCGAGTTACGATTTCTCTTTTGGTGTTGCCCTTTGCATTCACACACAGCAAGTCTTTTGTACGTAATTGTTGTTCTCAGCTTTGAACCGCCGACTTGAATAACTCAGACGAACGAGAGCACTAAGCGTGTTGCCCGAGTACGAGCAACTCGGTACCCGTCCCTTTTCCTCGTCGCTCTCTCCCCTTAAAGCTGCAAGTTGCCGCAACAAAAGTTTCCATGTCTGTACATCGACTTATACTAGGTTTACATATAAGTAGATTATGCATGGGGGATGGTTCCGTGCGCAGAAGTGGAAAACTTTTGACTGCCCTTCACCTGGGAGTGGCCAGAAGCGATTCTTGTGAGTACGGTTCATATCGCAGCTCACAACGTCCGGATATTTATATCCACGTATCCTCTGGCTAGCATCCAAACACCCGTTTGGGAGCGAGCTAAAGTGAGAAGGCGTAAAACTTCGCGAGCGCTAGGTTTGAGTTCCGCCACGTTAAAACCCCGCCCAATGAAAAAGAACAAACAGCCTCGGATGAGACCCTCTTTTTTTGATGACAACCGCGGCAAACTTGTAAAGGACAATGATTTGAGGGTATGCACCTGGAATATCCGGAATCTTAATGAAAAAGGGGCCTCTGTCCGGCTGGTTGCTGTCCTCGGGAAGACAAAGGCTGACATCGCCGCCATCCAAGAGATGCAATGGACGGGGCAAGGAAAAGTAAGTGCAAAGCCTTGCGACGTCTACTACAGTTGCCATGTAGAGGAGCGCAAATTCGGTGTAGTATCGCGCGGCGAATCCGTCAATGACTTCCTAGAAGTGGCTGCGACGAACACATTGAGCAAAAAATCAGACCGCTCTTGTGTTTGTGTTCGGTTTTATTTGTCTTTATAAACTAAATAACTCAAACGGACCAAGCAGGGCTACACAGACCTATGTGTGTCATGAATGCTGGAGCAGGCGATTTTAACATGTTTAGACCAGGGACATAACAGTTATATATTTTATCGCAAAAACCTTTCTCCATAACAGTTATAAGATGAGAAAAAATTTTTATTACTCCGATAAGAGTTATAACCCAAGTTGATTATGGTTGGAGATGCCGGGGAAATCAATGCATTCGAAGGCGCCGAGGCTACGGATCCTGATTATGTGCTGAATTTAAAAAATGCGTCTTCCGATGTTTACTCAGAGACTGTTATAGGAACGGAGACTCCATATGACGATGATGAGGATTTGGAAGATTTATATGAAGGCACTGCAGCTGCCACCGAAGCCGTCGATATGAACGAGAAGCCACGTTCGGCGAGCTCGATTATAAAACATCGTTCAAAGGATGGCAAGCTTTAATCAAGCCCTCCCTAGCGCACAGGTAGAATTCCTGCGCCGTTGTGCAACCCCGATTTCAATATCTAAATCGCTAATAACACCTGAAATTATTAATATAAATGTGCGCCAAACGAACCGGAAGGGCCGGGAGCTATGCCGCCTATGGTGTGCCAAGAATGCTGACCAAACACCGCGAACGTGGTTTGTCAGCATATTCAGGTCAACCAGTCAGCCTGTTCTTGAGTTGTGGTGCAACAACGGAAACCCATATAAAATTAATCTTTAATCTATCTATCTATCTTCTTCTTCTATATTAATAAAAATGTTGTGTTCGTATGTCACGGTCGTCAAAACTCGAGAACGGTTGAACCGATTTGAATAATTTTTTTTTGTTTTGTTCGGTATAATACCAGAACCAATGATATCGCAAAAAATTGAAGGGTTGCCACCAATTTGAAAATTGTTAAACCCAATTATATGATAAAATAAATAAATAATTACAATATGGGTATCAAATTAAAGAGTTTTAAGAAAGATAACTGCTGGAAATATTTTTGACGAGGGTTGCCACCTATTTGAAAATTTTAACTCAGACAAATTGATAAAAGAAATGAATTATTGCCATGTGGGTGTAAAACTAAAGAGTTTTAAGAAGGCGTACAGCCGAAAATATGTTTGAAGAGTGTTGCCACCTGTTTGAAAATTTAACTAAAGTACATCGATAAAATAAATGAAATATTACATTATGGCTATCAAATTAAAGAGGTTTAAGAAAGATATCTGTTGGATATATTTTGGAGAAG